GAGGCTGGGTAATCATAAAGCAAAGAGGGTTATTTAGCTCACCGTTCTGCAGACTGGGAAGTATGAGAAGGGTGGTGCTGGCTTCTGGTGAGAGCTTTTTGTACGTGGCCGTAGCATAGTGGAGAAGGTCACAGGGGAAGCAGGCAGTGCAGAGAGGCAAAACCCAAGGGGCAGCCTCGCTTTGTAACAACCCACTCTCGTGGGAACGTTCCCGAGAGAACTCATTACCTCTAGAAAGGCATCAACCATTCCTGAGGGATTTGCCCTCATAACCCCGACCCCCACCATGCCCCACCCCCAGGCACCGCCACACTGGGGGTCTGATTTCAGTGTGAGTCTTGGTGGGGACAACTCAGATTGCAGCACTGGGCTCGTGTGCACATTGACTTTTACTTTGCTTGTTCTCCTCAGAAAACGGTCCGGATGTACCCCTTCCAGATTCACAGTGTCGCCCTCTCCACCTTCGCCTCGCTCATCGGCCCCTTTGGAGGGTTCTTCGCAAGTGGATTCAAACGAGCCTTTAAAATCAAAGTAGGAAAGCCCTCCTCTCTGTCCTCTCATCTTGCTCCCTCCTCGCCCAGCCCTGCCTGTCTCCCCCTGCCCTACCCCATCAGCCACCACCCTCTTCAGAATACCAGGCTGTACACCCTGGTGACTAATGTGTGCTCTTCTTGACCCATATGCTAAAGTTAGGTGGGTTAAATAAAAGTACGTTTGTTTCCAAAAAAACACAATAGTTGATTTTCAGTTTGTTAATACATCTTTCTTCAATTTAATAAAATTATGTCCTAAGATAGCCTCCGCTCTAGATTTAATATTTTTCACTTTTTGTTGCCCTCCGCTGCTCAGGACAGTTGCTGGACATTGGGGTTGGGACCTTTAGGCTGGATTTGGTCATTGGCTGAGCCCAGGCTCACCTGTCTCTCCCCTGCCTCTAACAGGACTTTGCCAATACCATTCCTGGCCACGGAGGCATCATGGATCGCTTTGACTGCCAGTATCTGATGGCCACCTTCGTCAATGTGTACATCGCCAGTTTTATCAGGTATACGCTTTTCCATGTTGGTGGATTTTTAAGCATGATGCAATTCTAGAATTTTAGCTACATCAAAGTTCCAGTGAAAAGCATCCCAAATGTGAATGTAGTTTTCATTTTTTACTGCTTATGGATTTTCGGAAACCTCCTCCTGCCCTCCATTAGTAGAAACTCCAGAGATCAGAGCAGCCACTTGGAAAATCAGGCCTTAGAAGCTTCCAGGCCCCAGCTCAGTGCTGTTTCTTCACGTTCCGTTCCAGGGGCCCTAATCCAAGCAAACTGATTCAGCAGTTCCTGACCTTGAGGCCAGATCAACAGCTCCACATCTTCAACACGCTCCGGTCTCACCTGATTGACAAGGGGATGCTGACAGCTGCCACTGAGGACGCGTAGGGGCCACCCAGGGCTGGGAGAGCAGGAGCAGGACTGAGCGAGGGGCAGGTCTCCAAGGCAAGCCCTGCTGGTGTGACTCAGACAATGACAAGGCTTCAACTCACTGTCTTTTTTTTTTTTTTTTTTTGGTAGGGTATTTTTTATTTGTGGATTCAAAAAATCTGTATATACAGTCTATGTTTATGATTTGGGTTGTGAGTAAGCTATAGCTTTGAGTTGGAAAGAAGTCATGGGGGTAAAAACCGTTTGAGTTTTTTAAACAAACACAAGTATTTAACAATCCAGAAGACAATGTTGCCCAGCTCAGAGTGTGTCTGCTTGGTGGTTCAAGCCCCCATCAGTGGAACTGTTTCTGGGCTCAGACAAAGACAGGCATCTGTGTCTGACCAGTTCAGGGGGCTTCCTTACCTGTGTCGGGGGGCGTGGCTTGGATGTCTTTGCTGTACTGGAGAGCTTTCACCTGGTCTTTTCTAGCAATCTCTGCTCGGAACCATGGGAGGTTGCCTTCTGTGGGACGGAAGGATGGATGCTTATTAAGAGAGAAGCATTCCGTCCCCATGGAAATCCTGCAAAATGTAAAGAAGCTCTGCTTCGTAGTATGGTTTTACCTTACTTCATCACAGACTGAAAGAAAGTTTCAGTTTTTATTTTTTTCAGAAAGCACGAGAAATTATTTATAATAGTCTGGAGAAAAAACACACTGTACTATTTCAAGTGTATGCAGTAGAATGTACTGTAACTGAGCCCTTTCCCACATGTTTTCGGCTCGAGTGTCTCCTGTAGGGCAGTCCGGCTAACCGTGTCTTTTTCAGGGACGACGCCATCACATTTGTGCTGTAGACCTGCTGCTGCTGAATCCTTCCCGGGGCTTTCCCATCAGGCAGGGAGCGGAGGGCTTCTCATTCGCGCACCCTTTGCCTAAACACCCACGTAGCTGCTGTGTCGTGTATATTTTCCTCTTAAGGGTGTATGTATCTGTTTGTTTTTAAAAGTCACTCATTTCTTACAGTGATTTTAGTTGCACCATGACTTTTCACTGAAACCACAAAGTCCTGCTTAAAACTATGGAAAACGTAACCTGATTAGAGGCTTGACTATTTTGAAGATTAAATGCACACTTTTTATATATATAATGTGACCTTTTGACTGGGGTACCTTTTGTTGTTGTTATTTGCTAAACTGTGATTTATTTTTTTCCCTCCCTAATTATGAAGGTGAGATTGACTTGGGGAAGACAGATGAGTCCTAAGCAGTGGGGCGTGGGGGAGAGAGTTTGCTGCCCGAATGTGTTCAGTTATTCTGTGCCATGGGTGCTTTCACTTCCAATGGGGGTGTAAGGACTTGCTTCAGCACGTTGGTCGAGTGGTGGTTTGTGTTGTTTCTGCTTGTAAATTAGCCTTACTGCCTCCCTCAAAGCTCATGGTCAATCCAGGCCTCTGAGGCGTGGGGCAGAGAACAGAGCCCTCAAAATGTTTCAGTTCACGGATCACCGTGTGACCTCCCACATACGTGCAGGGTGGAAGTGGCTTCTTTCCTCTGAACTTTCACTTCATTTCAGCTTCATGGCTTTTCTTGTTCAAGACCAAGGCCTTCTTAAAAACAAAACGCGTGTGACCCCCGGGCAGGATGCATGGCTCTCAGGGGACTCATTGTCCGTGCTGTCTTCCCGTGTCTCTCTTCCGCAGCTCTGGCTGAGCAAGTTCACATCGCCAGAGGCTCCTGTGGGTATTGAGTCACATCCTGGGCACCCAAAAAGGAAGCGCTTTCAGGCCTTTTCTAAATGCTTGTCCTCAAGGTGAGTCAGTATCTCAGCAACAATTCCGAAGCAGTGAAGGTGATCAGTAATGGGACCGTAGTTTTCAGATTGGAGAGTGAACCTGGATCACCAAACTGGATACTGAAGGTGCCTATTTGTCTCTTCTGTCCCTTTGTGGGTATATGTGGGGTCCCTGGGAACAGCGAGTCTCACTGGGGCTCAGCAGCAGAGACTGTCTCCAGTGGGGCTGCCTTAGGGATCAGGAGCCTGGCAGTAGCAGGCAAGGTCGCAGTCCTTTGTGGATGTGGTCACTGAGGGGTCTTGGGAAGCAGGAGCTGGACGCTCACTGGAGCTGCCGGCAGGAAGGCCAGAGGGTTCGCTTGGCCCTTATTTTCTTCTGATTTCCCCAAGTGCTTTCTGGGGAAGAGGAATTTCCCAGTCAAGTAGCCAGAAGAGCAACACCACCTTGTGTCTGTAGAGCGCAGTGTTTCTCTTTCTCCTAGTATTTATTTACAGACAAGATTCAAAAGGCTGTTTTAACAGACACCCATGCAGATCTTAATGAATGGCACTGCTGGCTTTAGACCCATTTTTTTTTTTTGGTCAGAAATAAAATGTGACTGAAACCATGCGCTCCTCCTTGTGTGAATTTACTGTTTATCATTTCCACTTGTGGTTTTGTGTTTTGCACTTGTTTATGTATTCACCAATATTTTGCTGTTCGTTTTAGAGATTTTTGTTTTGTTTTCCAGTTTGTGTCCTCTGCATTCTCACAACAGCCTTCTGAGGTGCCTCAGGTGAGAGTCATGAGTACCTGAATAGGGACAGAGCTTCCCTGGGGTGGCGTCAGGATGCGCTCTGTGCACAGGACTAGCCCTGCTTGCCTGGCGAACGTGGTTTGAGCATGCCTGGGATGTTGCAGCTTTCCTTCCCTCAAGCTCAGGCAGCCTGGCCTGAGCCAGGTTGGAGCTTAAATTGCTCTTAGCTCATAACTGGTGAAGTAAGGAGTTGATGAGGAAGGGATCACAGAAACCAGTGCTGACTCTTGAAATGCGAACCTGGTGTCCTGACCCGTGAGTTGTGCTCATGACAGCTCACAGGGCACCAGTCTTGACCTGTGTGTGTTCGCATGCCGCCTCCTGAGTTGCGTTCAGCATCAAGAGAGTGCACATTTGTGTTTTACTCCTGAAAGTGAAACCGTCTAAGGCAGTCTGGGCCTTAGGTATGTTTATCAGTATTTTTCCCTATGCGCATCTGCTTATGTATTGTCTGTATGTTAATTATTTTTTGTCTGTTTCATATTCTGAGCATTTTAGTAGCTACAGTATTAACTACATTTAAAATGTATCTACTCTTAGTGTTGTACACTCTGTAACATATAAGAACTAGTCTCACATCCATTGAAACTAGTCTTTTTTCATAGGGGCGAAATATAACTTTTAACGCATACAGGTGGACTTTGAAACCATTTTTATGGAATGTATTTTTTCCCACTGGGCTTTTAACCTATAACTTGACCTATATTATGCAAGAAAATCCCAAAACTATACTTTAAGGGAGACTACACGGACCCTGTGGTTTGAGTTTAAGCTAGTTGTTGAGTTGGCGGGAGGCTGATTCAAATGGACTGTTGAGTTGAGATCGTCACACTGTCAGCGAAGTCCTGGCAGGCTCAGGTCCACCCTGCTGTTGACAGATTTGGGTAGGGGGAGGATGTGAATGGCTCAGGGCAAAAATCAGCCTTGCTGGGGAGAACTGTTCAGCAGCGGCCTTGTTCCTTATGAAGCCAGTCCTAGGTGGATTTCTGAGGGAGGAGGTTTTCATCACTCTACTAAATGTGGTACATCACTGCTGGGACACCTCCCTATTTTAGTAATATCGTAAGCACTGTTTCCTTTCATCTTTCAAGCAGCTTACATCTGGTCCCACGTTTTTTGTGCACCGATTATGTGCCAAGACAAGGGTGGAGTGGGGAGGGGACGATTTCACTTGGACCCAGGCTCCTGTTCTTCTGCGGTTGGGTCGAGAAGAAAGGCTAGGGGAAGGATGTCCAGGCGACTGTTGTGGACACATTGCAGGATGGTAAGCTATGGGTGGACTCGCACGTGTGCTTGTCTGGAGCACAGGGCTCCAAAGAGCAGCTGGAGCAAACTGTTAGCTCCTGAATACAGAGACTAATACTCACACAGAGCCTCACAGTCTTCCTTGTCTTGGCCAAAACAATCTTCCTTTTCTTTTTATCACCCTTCATACAGCTGCCCAGCTTCCACTTCTTAAAGAGTTAACAGTTGCCACTTCCTGACTCAGTTCCCCTTGTTGGGTAGGGCCTTGTGGCACAGCCTGCATGGGTTGCTGGGGTTTGGACCAGGTGGTGACGAGGGATTCTTATTTCAGGGCCTTGCCTGGCCCACCTCCTCTTGGGCCTGGACTTTTCCCTCCCACATCCCCTATGGAGGGTGGGTCCCATTCTCTGGAAGAGTCCTAGCTGCTGTTTCATTCCAGATTGACCATCAGTGGCCTTGCTCACCTGGCTCCTCAGGTGGATGGAGGCCGCGCTTCTCACCTGGGGCTGTCTCTTGATCAAGGCTCTTTGCTGTTTGTATGGGGACCATGTTTTCCAAGGCTCAGAGATCTCCACTGTGAGGACAGTTTAGGAGGTATACTTCGGAGGCTAAAGTGTTGGGTTTTTTAGGGCCTGTGAATGACTTATGAGAATAGAGAGGCAGAACTTGTGCGATCTAGGGTTTTATGGCCAGTGGGTTTCAAATCTGTTGGCTGTTTGAAGACTGTCCTCTCCCCTCCGCTTCTCTACCAAAGGCCTATCTACTGAGGTTCCTTCTCTTTTTATTCTTGAGCCAGTGAGATATCACCAGTGTGTTTATTAACGATTACAATATAGTGCTTAATATGTGCCAGGCACAGTGCTAAGGGTTTACATACATTATCCTGTTTAATCCAGAAAACAACCTTTGATTGGGTATTATTATCCCATTGTATAGACCAGGAAACTGAGTGTGACTGAGGTTGAGAGCAGTGGCTAAGAAGACAGACTTCAGGCTCAAAAAGCCCTAGTTCTGAGCAGGTTACTCGGCTGCTGTAAGCTTCCACCTCCAACCCAGCTGGGTCGGATAATAGTACCTTCTCCATGGGGAGGTTGTGAGGATTTAATGAGATAATGCATGTAAGCATTTAGCATAGTGCCTGGCACATAGTAAGCGCTCAATAAATGGTAGTTCCTTTTGTTGAACTCTGCTAGTAGTTGGCTCACGTTGGCGTAGTGCCAGAAACTGGGTTCTCACACTGCCACTGCCCTGCACGCAGCCCAGGTCCTTCTGAGAGAAGCGGTCCCACTTTATCACCCCTCTACAGCATCTTGGTGCTTCACGTGTCATTAAGAAGGCCAGCCTGACAAAAGGAAGGAGGCTGCGAGGTGTTCAGAAGTTCTGTTCTTAACGGGAAGGGCTGGCCTGAGGACCTTGCCCATCTCCCGTGCCCGTGGTCTGGACTGTCTGCGGGGAGGAGGCCGTTTCCTCTTGCCTGGTGGTGCGTCCACTCTGGGCAGCGAAGGCCTGTCTGTGACTTGCTGTGGACGCCACTTTCCCCTCTGGCCAAGGGCTGCACCCTGTACACAGAGCTCAGGAACCTGTAGCAGTTGTTTGTACATTTTCAGGGGCCAAGAAGAGTAGGGAAAACAGAAACCTGCTGTGTAGGAGGCCGTACATACTAAAAGCCTCAAAGTCCTGCCCACACTTGTACAATGCAGCCAATCTGGGGCCTCGTGTTTCACTCTTTCTTAAAAGTATGAGCAGGATAGAAGTGGATGACCCATTGAGGACAGATGGCATGGGGTGTTTCCGTCGGATTCCAGGTTAGCAAAGGATCAAATGGGTGATTCATGAGTGGAGAAGAACAGGCACAGGACTGGGTGAAAAAAAGTTCCTTTCACTTTATTTTCCAAACAGAGACAAGGGAACTGGGGACTGAGCGTGTGTGAGGCGGAGGCCTCCTCACTTTGAAGGAATGGTGCTGGCGAACAGGACCCGAGGGATTCTGAAGACAACTGAGTAACAAGGATGCAGAACTACTGGCTTGACTGTGGATTATTTCCTCGGTGTTACTGGGACCCAACAGCCTATTGGTAGCATTTAAATAATGGTCTCTCCCTTTCTGTTAATTAGTGAAGTAATGGTAATGCCATGAAGCAGGAGAAGATGGTGGTGGGGTTTTAGCAAGCAGCCGCTGTGACGGGCTGATGCTGGGTTTGCCCCCAAGGGTCCTTTTGCCCTTCTGGGCTCGTGTTTGCCAGGCCTGATGCTTCCTCCCTCATTGTGCCATCAAATGGACCCAGGGCAGCCTTTTGTCCACACAAAGTCTCTGCCCTG